AAGATTTTTTTTTTTTTTTGGTAACAGAATCTGGTTCGTAGTCTAGCTCTATTTCTTTATATTTTTACTAACTGCTTACTCAGATGTATTTATATGACACTTGTTATCTACGTTCTTTCTTGTCCCCAAATGATGATGAAAATGAAATGAATTTTGACAATTGAATTTTATAAGCTTTTCATATGATAAAATCGACTTTGGGGGCTATGCAGGTCTGTGAGTTTTAATGTACGTATGAACTCATGTAACCACCACCAGTCGGGATACAGAATAGCTCCCTCATCCCCAAAACTGCCTTAGGCTGCCGCTTTGTAACCAACTCTCCCCCATCCTAATCCTTGGCAACCACTAATTTGTTCTCTGTCCTTGTAATGTGCCTTTTCCAGAAAGTTAAATAAATGGAGTCACGCAGTGTTGAATCTTTGGAGACTGGCCTCTTGCACTCAGTAAAATGACTTTGAGATTCAGACAAGTGGCTGCATCTGTCGGTTGGTTGTCCTTTTTTACTGAAGAGCAGTATTCCACTGTATGGATGTACCACAGCCTGTGCCAGAATGGCAGTGTTTTGCATTCCCGCTAGCAGTGTATAAACTTTTAAAAACTTGAATGCTGTTTTAAATGCTCTGGGGTTGATGTTGGCAAATCGTGTTTCACAGTTCCTTGGGGTTTTGAAGAGATGCCCCATGACAAAGGGAGGGCTTCTAGGTCTTCCATAGCAGCCTCAAAGAGAACTGGTCCAGTTTTGCTTTGTTGATGTATTGAGTTCCATGGAAAAATACATTTGGGGAGAAAAGAGATCTGTCTGTGGAGTGTTGGAAAACCATTGTAGCAGGGTGGTGCATCCAGAGCTTGGGATGTGGACCGTGGGTGTTTCGGGGGGGGGGGACACTAGGGGGCGCTCCAGGACTCTGCACATAGTGGGGACTGCACTGGGAGAAAGTGGACTCCCTCTTCAGCTCCTTTTCAGTCCACGTCTTTGGATCAGGCGGTCTCCACATCGTTAACATTCACTCGTTAATGACGTCATTTACGGCACAGCAGGCTTCCTTCTCAGAGCCTTCAGCAAAGCAACTTCTATCTAGAATGAAATCGACATGTGGCTTTGTTTTTAGTATGTTCTTTTTATGGGTATCTCTTCATTGATGCCGAGTACCACAGGTTTCCCATTTTTCTTTTGAAGCGAATTTATTTTGTACTTTAAAGTACGGGTCATTGGAAATAAAAATACCAAATATTGTGTACCTTACACTCAAATATGGCAAGAATCATGGGACTGTGCTAGGATGGCTGAATTTTGGGGAGACTCTACACGGGGGGTGCTATTTATTTAAATAGACCTTGAAGTGAATCCTTTTGTCAAGTGAAGAGAGCTCCTTGGTAAAGCACGTAACTGTCTCTTAATTTATTTGATGAGTTTATAAGTTTATATAATAGTAAAGCCTTAAAAGACAGCCTTCTCCCGCTCTTTGTTTTTGCAGTACTTGTTTTCAAGCTCCTTCTTTATTTCCCGACTTGACAAATATTTATTAAAAATCATTAGACAAGCCCTGGGGTGAGGTAGTGAAGTAAACAGACAGGGTCCAGCCCCGTGAAACTTATTTTCTTAAATCCTTCCTCCTTTCGCCTCTTAGAGGCTGATCAGGGAAAACAAGGGCTTCTGGATAAAATTTAAATGACACAAAAGGCAAAGAAGAGATAAATGACTTTTTAAAAAAGTTACTTGAATGCAGTCACATAGAAGATTAATTTTATTTATGTCTTTGGAGTCAAGTTAGATGTGTACCTTGTCTTCTGTTTGAAACATTTTGCTTATTACTTTGGTAAAATAATATGGATCTGCAGACATAATGATAAGCTTGGGGACTGTTTGAGGTTCCTTCCAACTTTAAGTACACGAGGTGGGGCAGCACAACCAAGAAGGAATGCTGTTGTCAGAATACCCACCGATGCCAGGACCTCTCTGAAATTAGGCATCTTTTACATCAGAGGTCACAAATTAGCAGCTGAGTTCCATACAGCTGTTGGCGTTTCTTGTTTGGCCACACGGCATTTAAAAAGTCAAAAGAGAGGGGACGCCTGGGTGGCTCAGTCACTTGAGCGTCTGACTTTGGCTCAGGTCATGATCTCGCGTTTTGTGACTTCAAGCCCCTCGTCGGGCTCTGTGCTGACAGCTCAGAGCCTGGAGCCTGCTTCGGAGTCTATGTCTCCCTTTTTCTCTCTGCCTCTTCCCCGCTCGTGCTCTGTTTCTCTCTCTCTCTCTCAAAAATAAACGAACATTAAAAAAAGATTTAATAAAAATAAATAAACAAATAGTTAAAAAAAAAAGTTTCCAACACTTAAAAATCAGAAGCTTTCACATTAAAAAAAATCAAAACAGATTTCTCATTTTGAAAATTCCTGCGTCTGGCACCACGGCAACAGCCTCTCTGAATGGGCGAGTTGGCTGTTGCTGAAAAGGGACTGCCCTTTTGCACAGAGCATATGCTCTCGTCAGGTAATCTTGTTTAATTCATTCACGTTACCTCTCTGGCTCTGGTAGGTATTTGAATTTTCAGCTCCTGCTTTAGCCACTCGGAGCCTGGGCTTCATGTAGGAGAAGCGCCTAGTAAAAATGAGCATCTCTCCCTGTGCCCGAAGGCTGAAATTGTCATTGCCCTCAACGCTCACAGAGTTTCCAACTGGGTATATCATCTGATGTTGTAGATGTAACTCTGGACCCAGGAGGCCGAGATCAGGGTCGTTTTCGTGGCGAGGGCTAGTCACGTGATCTTGGATCCTTTCACAGTGGAGTTACTCGCTCCTGTCTTATCTGTGTGTATCCGTGAGGCTTTTTGATTGTAAGCAACAGAAACGGATTCTGGTGAATTTGAGCAAAACGGAACTTGGTTGAAAGGAGAGTGGATAACTCAAGGTCTCAAAAGAAGAAGAATGATCTCTACTCAGAAAGTTCAGGAAACCAGGAATACTTCGAGGACCATGGGTGGTAGGAACTAAGGCAATTGATAAACCGCCTCCAAATTTTTCCCCTCTCTTTGTCCTCCTTCTTAAGTGTCTGAAGTCCCGGAAAAGCGAACCAGGTTGGCCTGGGCCACATCCTTCATGGGAGAGAGTGGGACACTTTCACTGGCAAGTCCCTCTAAGACTGCATGCAATACAAGACTCCCCCAAGAGAAGATTTGTGTTGTCACAGGAAGAGGGGGACCGGGCCTGGAGAGAAGGCAACCACACAACAAATGTTCACTACACCTCTTCTCAAGGTTGTCAGAAGGCATTCAGTACACGCTGTGAATCGCTGTAGACGAGCAAGGAAGTGGTATTTCAAGTTACAGGACAAAACCGTGAGCGTGCTTTCTAAGTAAATGAAGGCATTGGCATCAGTTAGATAAGGAATATGCACGGAGAGACTAGTACAAAGAAGGTCATAGTCTCATTCCTTTTAGCAGTTGCTTTGGTTACAACATCTCCAAAGAAGCCACACTAACTTTAAATGAAAAACATGTATAAATTCTCAAGATTTCTACTCCAGTTACGTGAAGATAAGTACGTGTGATGAAAAATTCTCTCATTAAAACTCACCAGGCATTCGCTCACTCAAATTTCAGTTGCCAGTAGAATACTCTTTTGTTTTCTTAATTGTTTTCTATAATGTTACATGAGTTTGCATGTTTAAAATACACGCATATAAAACTGGCATACAAGAGTGAGTTGTAGATCAAATTGAAGCAACACTTTTCAAATTGGAGTTTTGATGTAATGCCCCTTCTTAGAGTGATGTGCCAAGGCTTCAAATATTTCTTTTATGTTTTTTAATTTTTTTTTAATGTTTATTTTTGAGAGAGAAGCAGAGGATGAGTGGGATGGGGGGGCAGAGAGAGAGGGAGACACTGAATCCGAAGCAGGCTCCAGGCTCCGAACTATCAGCACAGAGCCCGACGCAGGGCTCAAACCCACAAACCATGAGATCATGACCTGAGCCAAAGTCAGATGCTCAACTGACTGAGCCACCCAGGAGCCCTGGACTTCAACTATTTCCAAAAGCAACACCCAACATTTCTAACACTAGG